AGTAATAGTAATAGTAATAGTAGTATTTTATTCTATGCACGGCGACAGCGGCCATTGCCATGCTAAGGGCAGCTGTAGTGTCAATGGTGGTGGTTGCAACTAGTGTATTCTGAACACCTTCAGTGGTACGGACACTAGGTCTAGGACGCGCGCGAAAACATGCTTGGTACGAAGGCCTTAGACCTTACTGTTCCCAAATGGTGAGCACAATTGACAAGGAGCTCTGTGTCAAAGCTGTGGGCGTCCTCTCCCTGGCCATCGAGGTTCTGCACAAAGTCAGGGTTCCTCAGCAGGGTTGACTTGGGATCTCTCTCAGCCTTGATACACCGGTAGGGTCCGTAGATCATCCTCACAGGCAGCTTGATGCGAGGCCTCACTTGATGGGGATGTCGTGCGTCGTGCGAGTGAGTGTGTGCAGAGTCCGCATGACGGGAAAAATGGAAAAGGAAGGCAATGCCGATTTTGAAGACAGTGCCTCGCAGCAAAGCTTCCTCGTGTGCAGGTCGCACACCCGGCGTGACAGGCCACGACTGTTGGACATTGCTTCCTAAGCATGGCACCTATGGCATGGCACGGCTGCGGGTCAAGCTGAAGTTCGACGAATTACTTGTATCAAAGTTCGATACTTCTGGGGCTCCCCACTGCTTGTTGACCGAGTAGTTGGTGAGGTGCATCATCCTGCGAATCCCACGGCTGAGGCTTCGGACGGGAGAGTGAAACTCCTTTTGTTAACCGGGGCGTTGATACGCTGGGCTGTCTTGAGGTTGGTCGCGTGAGGTGTTCGGAGACAGCCCTCGTCGACTCTTAAGAACCCCCACAACCTGTGCTGCCAATATGCAACTTACGCGCACGATGCCTTGCCAGGTGTTCCACCCGACTGGCTTGTACATCATACTCGCAAAGCCTTAAACCACTCTAACCTTTATCACTGCTATCTGCTATTTTTCATAGCAGTGAGCAGCGTGTCAGGCAGCTTTGAAATATCTGATATAGGCACCTTCACAAGCCCCACTCTCAGAGCTATTTCTCCAGCTTCATTGAAGCTCAAAGGCAGAAGGCATGCCGACTGCTTCAAGATCCGAGCCCCACAGATCCGAGGTAGATGGACAAAGACTTGAAAGCATTCCGTGAAGCACTCTTCCTATCATGGCTAGTACACCGAATTGAAACATTGCTGTTATCATCATCACCTGCGCCAAGTGCATGACTGCTATTGATGCTCGTGGCTCTTGCAGATCGAGCACGAAATCGTTGGCGTCCTGGACTGGAGCGTGTCCACGGCTTCCGAATACTGCTCCGTTGCAAACCGGACAAGGCCCTCATCGTTAACGTACACCTTGAGAGGATCGTACCTGCCACAGGCCGCCAGTGCCTAGTCTAATCAGGTACATGCCAAGGGTCATCACACCGATAAGCAGTAACCAATACCTCCCTCTCTCCTTCCCTAAGTTCAACACCAAGGCCATCAACAACAGCCGCTTCGACAAGTACGACGACTGCAACTGCCTGTGCCGACTAAACCCTACTTCCGTGTCTCGTCGCTTCCACCGTAAGGCCGGGACGACAGAACCACCACGTAGATGCGCATGTCAAACCTGCGCAGTCGAAACCGCTTCCTCCATCCCAGGTGTGTGTATGTGTGTGTGCGTATGTGGGCGTGTGTGGACATGGAAGCATAAGCAAGAGAGATCGGGGGAAGAGGCGTCGCGATCACGTGGGCTATCGCCCAAGTACTGCTACTCGTGCTGCCATGGTGCGGCTATTCTGTCTTGCTACTATCAGTCATGTACGTGTT